CAATAAATTCGACTTCGTTTATCAGGGAGTAACTTCTATTCGATTTCTCTCGCCGGGAAGCCCTTTCGGAAACTTTGTCAGGCTGATGGGGCCAACTTGACTGCAATTTTACCCGTGAAACTGGAACTTTTCGGCGGAATCTCGCTGCGGATGGGAGGCTCGGGCATCGCGAGCTGCCTCTGTCAGACCGAGTCTCGATGAAAATCCTAGGCTAATGTATTCCGAAGCCTCCTGACCTCTCTCGGTTCCTCTATCCCTCGTTTAACGCTCGTCTCTTTTATCGTCTGTCCTCTGACCCGCCGGTGAGCATCCTTTGTCTCGCAGTGGGCCGAAATTGAAAAGTTAATATTCTACGACGCGATAAGCGCGATATTAAATATTGAAATATACGATAAATATAAATATAGCGCAAACGCATTCCTGAAAGGATTACGATTCCCGTGGAGATAGTGATTCGTATACAGGATTTATAATTAAATTATACACATGCAATAAGAGAAACATCAATTTCTTTCGTTTCCATCTTACTTTCTCAAACGCAGTGCCATTGAATTACTGTGATTGAAATAAGATGTAAATGAATATTTCAATCACAATCCACTACGTTTGAAAAAGTAAGCTTCAAGTTCATGAAATCGATGTTTCCTCTATTGCTCGTTTAAATTTGCACTCTCCTTATACTCATTCTCCTCGTTCGTCACAATGTGCTCATACCCTCGCCGCACTTGCCGTTCAGTTCGTCGGAGGAGTGAAAAGATATCGACTATTTTCCTTCTACTTTCTTCAGCTAATGGACGAGAGGGTTGCTCATCACTGCTCTAGTCGGTTCGCGAGTTCCAGCAGCGACTGCTCTATCCCCTCGCGCTCGTTTTCTCCCTACGTGACTCTATCCCGCTAGTCCTCTCCCATTTCTCGCGCTCGGACGCCCACGCCCAACGCGGCGTCCCCCTCCTCCTGCTTTGCATCTCACGTCCGCGCGGGCGTAAAGTGCAAGGTATCGCATTCCACGCATCAGCCACGGTGGAACTGGCAACCGGCCGAAACCGTGGAAAGAACAGAAAGAAGGAAACCATGCGGGGCGCTCGCTCGCGCGCGCGCGACCCGGCTACGTGCCGCGAGGAATCGTGCAGCCAACCACCGAAAGCGCCTGAATAAAAGAAAACCTGTCGTGTACCCCGTGAAGTGTCCCACGTCGGGGACCGGAGGAGCATCTCGTGAACCAGTCGCGCTTTGAGAGCACCGGGAGGCTCCGATCGATCCGAACGCTGGTTCCATCGCGGACGTAATCTCTGGACTCATCGCGACACGCTTCTAAATTTCTAAAGGGTACTTCGCGGCGCTCGGATGATTGGATCGTGTCAGATCCTTCGGTATCAATTCTTCTAGGCGCGTTTGCAAACGTTCTCCTTCGATATGGATTTCCTCGATAAAAACAGAAACGTCTAGCCCCTTGCGCAAGAACGTCGACATTTCGAGATGAAATTCTTCTATTTGGAAGACTAAGTGTAAGTAGTTTCCTTTCTACTCGTTAAACGATTGATATATAATTCAGCTTCATCTTGGAGGTTTTGTATATTGAAAAGAACCTTCAAAAGTCTAGACCTCGAATCTACGTCTATGATACTTTCTATCTTCGAAAATCCCATCGTACACACATATTTAACTAGTCTCCTTACAACGTCGACGGTAACGGTACCGGAACGAAGAAATTAAAAGGAATATTGGACCAGTGAAATCTAAACGGTTCGAACGTTATTCCCGAGCGAAGCCCGAGCGGAATACGATCGAGACAAAAGAAATATTAAGGGCGCGCGATTGGGAATATTTCGTAACAATATTGCGCGGGCGTCCTCCCGCGATCCGGATCGACCGTGAAAGAGGATTCCGAGCGAGCCCCGGCCGCTGGGATGGAAAATATTCCGGGAAGACCGCACGCGATCATACGAGGCGTAACGAGCTGTCGGGGTCGGTCATT